TCTCTCTCTCTCTCTCTCTCTCTCTCTCTCTCTCTCTCTCTCTTCCTCTCTCTTCCTCTCTCTCTCTCTTCTGATTCATGTTCTAACCACTTTTGAGAGTTTTCCTTTCCTTTGCTCCAGGTGAGCTGTCTCCAGGTGTTTATCATCCAGTTTATGCCTTCAAGGATCTAAAACAAGATCTTCTCCTGTTAAATGAGTTTGCTCTCAATGGTCCAGCCCCATATTTCACTTAGATTTTTCGCACTGTTGATAGATCTCTAAGCCACAATGTCTTTTCAACAATCTTCCTTGGAAAATGTATCTCCTTACCCTAACTCTTCCAGGGCCTAGACAACGGTAGAGTTGAGGGTGGGGGTTTCATTATATAACTAGTATTTTTCTGTAACTTTGAATATGAAATTATGTTCTGTTGTAAGAATTTTTTAAAGAGAAGTGTAAAATACAAAGGATTGATGTACCTGACACACCCAGTAAACATTACCCAGGCTGTCTGTCTCATCACTGCTGTTAATTTTTCAGTAAGGTTAGCTAAATTTGGAATATTTACTTCAACAAAGTGTGACCTGCAATTGAAAGTTTACTGTGCTTGGAACTGGTTTATGTCTGACCAGTTCAGGTTAAGGTCAGTTTGACGAGGTGTTATTGGTGTTGTTTTTGTTGTTGTTAATACCGTGCAGTCGGTTCTGACTCATAGTGACCCTGCACAGAGATTCTGAGCCTGCAAACCTTTATGGGAGCAGAAAGCCTCATCTTTCTTCTGCAGAACAGATGATAGTTTTGAACTGCCAGCCATGAGGTTATTAGCCCGATTCGTAACCACTAGACTACCAGAGCTCCTTGAAGAGGTGTTGTTGTTATTGTTGTTGTTAGGTGCCATCAAGTCGGTACCAACTCATAGCAACCCTATGCACAGCAGACCGAAACACTGCCAGGTTGGTCCTGGGCCAACCTCACTACTGTTTCCACGCTTGAGTCCATCGATGCCACCACCTGGCCAATCCATCTCATTGGGGGTCTTCCTCTTTTTCTCTGACCCTCCACCTTACCAAACATGATATCCTTCTCCACGACTGCTCCCTCCTGACAATATGTCAGAAGTATGAGAGACGAAGTTTGGTCATCTTGGCCTCCAAGGAGCACCCTGGCTGCACTTCTTCCAAAACGGATCTGTTGGTTCTTTTGGCAGCCCATGGTACTATCAATATTCTCCTCCAACACCATAACTCAAAAGCATCAATTTTTCTATGGTCTTCCTTATTCACCATCCAGCTTTCACATGCATATGAGGTTATTGAAAATACCATGGCTTGGGTCAGTCTCACCTTAGTCCTCAAGCTGACATCTTTGCTCTTCAATACTTTAAAAAGATTTTGTGCAGCAGATTTGCCTAATGCAATATGTCATTTGATTTCTTGACT